ATCTATCTATCTATCTATCTATCTATCTATCTATCTATCTGTCTAGTTTGAAAGTGCGTCTTTGTATCTGCAGTAAAACGGTTGCTAAGCTACGAAGCCGGTTAGCTGCTAGAATCGTGTTTAAATATGGATGTGATTGCACGTATGTAACCAAAAATATCGTTGACATCTATAGTGCGGATGAACTCCGGAACAATAACCCAATGACTGAGGATAATAATTGTGGGTGTAAACGTACGGAACGACCGGGAACGGAGCCCGTAATACGGTCGTCAGTAAAGAAGGAACTTCACAAGAAAGCCTAGTCCAATTGACTATTTTTCCCAAAAAAGTGCTGCAGTATTTCAATCGAATCAATCTGATTAAATGCATGTGTTGCATCTGAAACACGAGTCGTAGGTAGGCAATCTGGTAATACCCCTCGATGTGTGTGTATGTGACTAACGCGGTCAATCTCTCCTGTAAGCCAAAAATGAAAAACAAATCTATACAGAATGAGATTTGTGTTCTATTCGACAAAAAGTTGAACTTACAGTCAGGCGGGAAGCATGAATTTTATCCATCAAACTGGGTGGAAGCTAACCAAGATAAACTTAGGTTGCTCACTCAGATCTCAATCGGACGCAAATAACGCGAACATATGTTGATGTAAATCATTTCCTTTCCCTTCATGAATAAAAACACTCCTCCAAATCATTAATTCTCAACATTGTGATATAGGAATTCCCCTTGTATTACTGCATGCACGTCTTCTTTGGATGCAAATGAATCTATGCAGTTCCAGCAACGCTTCTGACAATGGTAACTAAAACATTTATCCCACCATGATAGTTTCTATCTCCTACAAGCAGCGTGAAAACAACGCAACTTGTATTTTTCCATTTGGTCCGAAGACGAATTGTGTAAGAATTTCGGATAATAATTTTGAAAAATTAAAGTTATTCTTCCTGAAAATCAGATTATTGGTTGCGTGGGGGTCATCAGTTTATTTACTGGTCGGATTCAGTCACGCTCGGACTGTATTACTTATAAACATGATGACTGGTTAACATCTAGGGGAAATTTCGCTTAATCCTCTCCCGGATTTGGTCCCCCTCGTCCGGTCGGATTATCCATACGTGAGATACTGCAGCACAGAGAATAATGGATTTGTGTGTTTTGGACACCTCACTGAGTAAACACGGATCAACGGAGTCCTCGATCAACTCATGAGTTTTACGTTTTTCAGCTAACTCCACATTGAAACAAGTCAGAGGAGATTTGAGAACACAAAAACGGCTGTTGACTGTTCTGTCTTGGAAAATAATGAATGATTCTTTTCCTGCGGATTACTGACGCAACACACCTCGAATCGCCTGTCATTTTTCTGGCAGGCAAATTTTAGAAAATTCTGGTGATTGCAAGAAGCTTTTACCGACGGGTTTTACCACCCCTGGCTATAAAAAAAGTTTCGGTTTGGAGTCAAATGAAAAAACACCGGTATCCATGGTTTGTCTGTCAATATCAAATGTGATACATAAGGGTAAAATATAAAGAAAGTTTGTATGTTCGTTTTGGTGAAACCAAACGAAGCAGGAAAACCAGTGTAACTTGCAACAACTATAATCTGCTACGGAAGGATTAGTGATTAAAATAAATTGAGAATTGTCTTTTAAATTTGCAGTTAAACAGGTTTTGCATCATGAACGCCATTCACAACAACTCCGGCACCTTTAGACATCAGGATTTATGCTGTGACTTTGATGAGGCTCATAATTCTGTGACCTCAGTGTATTATACATATCAAAGGTAAGCGGCATATTGTCTGTTTTATCCTGTTACCAAATACTCGACTCCAAAATGTACCCTTTGTCACATGGTTTTAGTTAAACTCTGGTAAAAGTTATTCATACTTTACAACCCGAAACCGGCTTCTACATCCTTGAGGTCGAGAAACTAAAAATGTCATAAATAATTCAAAACAAACAATGGAAAACTAATTTTTTGATAAAACGCACAATGTTAACGGTGAATTTTCCTGTAAATGAGCCAAACTTGAACATTTTCACTCCTCACTTACTCTCATTCGCATTGTAAACGGTGATGTGAGCCGTGGCCGAGTCGGAACCGACTTGATTCTGTGCATAACAAGTTACACTATCCCCATTGTGGCTGTTCTCCAACTTCGCCCGTAGTGATACGCTGTCCGGTGAGGTGACTTTGAGCTGCATACCCGGCCGACTGTGGGTCAGTTCTACGTCGTTCCAACGAAACACTATTCGCGGTGCCGGATTACCCTCTGCCTGACAAAAGAATAGGACTGATTCGCCAGCAATCGCCCGCGTATCCACCGGAGGTTGAATAATTTTTGCAGGGCCTAAATATGTGAGAGACGAATAAATAGTTAATAAAATATGTAAAACTTCGTTCAACGAACTAAAGCAACATGAGCTCAAAGCTGCGATTGGTTGTTCCCCATACAATGAATAATGCGATGAACAAAAATGTAATTTTCATGTTGCTTGACTGCGTCTCACACTTGATTGATTTTGTGGCCTGATACCCTCACGGTCACAAATGAGCTTCATTAACTAAATGTTCCAAATGCTCCGTGTCAATTAGAGCACAGTGATCGGAGACCAAATTGCGAAGAGTGACCATGCCAGCTTTCAGTCGACCAACTAGTGAGTAAAAGGAGAAGTAACCAGCGCTGTAAGAAGAACCACCATTGTAAAATTTCATCAATTATCAAGCCCACTGAAATAATATACACAGTCCCAGAACACAGTCCCGGAATTTTAAACGATTCGGAGGTAGAGAGGTAGGACGGAGGAGCCCCGCAAACCCTTCAAAACCGTAACATATCTTCGGATTATCAACCCTGTTTCTACTTAGGCTCTCAGGAAAGTCTCATTTATACAAACCGACACTAGACGTGATTGAATAAACGTTTATGGAGAAATTCAGAATGAGAACATACTCATATGAAGGTGTACGATTTTGTAATGTTTTGATTGCTGTAAATTTTCATCGACCAGTGTTTTTTTTCTAGAAATTATAGGAAATGTTATTCTGAATAACAAAAAATAAAACCAAACATGAATTTTTCCCCTTTTAATCATTGGAATCTGAATTATGAGCAGTAAGGATCTCCATATTCCTCCTAACCCCACCCATTCAAAACGGTCTGTTGTGACTGTTTTTATTCAACTCTGATTATAATGCTGCATATTAGATGTTTTCATAATACTTGTTATGGTCACCTCAATGTTTCGTAGCTCCAGTCTTTTGAGGTAACATCATTTACTTTATTACTTATCCCTGATGATATATAATCAACTATACTATCTCCGAAAGGTGTATGGCCTTTCAAAGGTTAAACGTATTTAATCACTGTGATGTTGCAGTTCTCTGGGCAATTGATCCTCTCCGGAGTGAAATATGATGACGAGTCAAAAAGATCTGTCTGTATTAACACCATGCGATATAACTATAAAGTTAAATTCGTACTGTGGAACCGGTGAAACACTCGAGGACAATGAGAAGCCAGTCATGCCTCAGTGACTGGTACTTTCCGACTAACGATGCATCAAGCAATCACACTAGAGGAGTTATAGTTTACAAATATAAGTGACAATGTCGCGAGATGTTAACATCAGATTTAATCTTCTCAGAGAAGATAAAACGAAATGTTAACATCTCGCGACATTTGTCTTCTTTCTGTTTTGATGAAATGGATAAAGGGAACTCAATGCTTCAAATATAAGTGAGCTTGAAAGAAGTGTGAATCAGAATGAATTTTTACGTCACAGTCAATAAAATCGGTGGTCGTTCGATGATCATAACCTCGCTTAATCTTGGAGTTTGAGAACCTTTTGTTGTAAATCGAATTATGCCAGATTCTAATACAGCGATTTTAACGGTTTTTTACATTTTTATGATAAAAATCACTTTTCTGACCAATCGATTTGTTCAACATATTTCAAGAGAGAAACTAAATTTGTTTTATTACTCTTCGAAAAAAATTATCTTTGTATCTATCAAACAGGCGGGTAATGAACTCTCAATCCTTACCAGTGTAGGCCTAATTAGAAGGTTGAATGCCTCCGTGAAACAGTTTTTGATGGCACAAAAACACGGGAGTCTAATCTCACGACAAGGCTGTTTTGTATGACTGCATTAACTCGCGTTTCATTGATGAATAATTTTTAAAAATATTTACAAATAACTAATCCATGAATAGATAGCAAGGAATGTACCAAAGCGCTATGTGTCGATCAAAATGTAGTTTGTAAATGTACTAAAACATTGAGATCTTGAACACACATTGCTAATAAGTCTGACTCGGCAACTATTTGAATACATGAGTCGTGGGTAAAACTCAATCTTTTCAGTTTCTTTCAAGTTTACCAAGGTCCGGTTCCACTGACGACTGACCTCCTTCCTGATCCAATACAAATAACAACTAGTTCGGTTTCTCGATAAAGAAAGCTTCCTAAACATGAATGTCACGTGCAAAATTTAGCGAGAAAATTGTCTGTTTCCTTTCCACTGGTAAATACCGTGTTCCGTAAAAGTGTTCCTTGTGATTGACACAGCAACCGTCTAAATTCCCTAACCTAATTTGTACGAAAAATAAATGAATTCATGTTGTGGCATTTGTTGATTTTATTCTTTAATCGTTACATTTAAGTTTCTGTAATTTAACTAATTCCAGCAATTTACAAACTGTGAATGGATTTTGAAAATGGTCTGTGAGATTGGGGTTTAGGGTTTAACTTGAGGTATTATGATGACATATGTAAGCAATCATTTGATCTTCTTGAGACCTCTGTTTTGAACTTCTAACGCGGAACACGTTTTTCCCTATTTGAAGTAAATTAAGGATGTTAGCATGCAAACATAACATAGAGATTCTGCGCCACAATTTTCCTTTGTCCAGAAAATCACCAGAATCAGCGCGATCTGGTGGTGAACCTCCTAGCCTTTGGTGTAACTGTTCCAGAGCAGTGGTAGAAGTATGTATGTATATGTATATGTATGTATGTATGTATGTATGTATGTATGTAGTTATGGATGTATGCATGTATGTATGTATATATGTATGTATTTATGTATGTTCCTTGCACTGCACCCGTTGACCTTTGCACATGGTAAAAGTTATTGACGGATTTGTGGTTGATCTTTACATTGAGAATAATTAAGGAATCCGTTTGTGTCTTTTCCACCTCGATTTCCAGGCTGTAAATGCGCTTACTATGGCCCATATAAAACATGATACCGTCGTAAAAGTGCCAACATAGTTATCGAACTCAGTTTTCCTGTCTGCCAGTGTCGTAATCTATCAAACCTTTTCACTTATTTACGCCCGCATATTAC